GGTGGCAATTCATTCTCTTCTTCATCAGATTTCTGCTCCTCAGCTCTACCAACTAAATCTTTTAAATAAAAGACAATGTCAATCATACCTAGTGAATGTCTGAGAGACAATCATAGGCCTGTCACTAACATCACCCTTATTTAACATATATAGGCCAGCTATCCTATAGGTCAAGTACTGCACTTGTAAGCCTCATCAATTAAAACCCTCTAACTGTAACCCACACATTCAAACCAGTTTGCAAAATGGCTGATTTGGTAGAAAACCACTGTGTCACAATCTAACAACAAAAATATGCTTTACAGCAGCAGACTTTACATCTATTTAATGGTTTTTAAGAACAACATAGTCACACTAATGTTCAATATTTCAGATAAAATATTGCCAGTGACACATGATGTCCATGTTATTGGACAGCTGAGTTATTGCAATCTACACCCAGCATAAAAACAAAACTTTAATGTTTTTCTAGTCATTTTAATCTTTCATCATTAATCGGTGTTATTAGGGTTTTATAATGCTACAGAAGAACTGGCAAAATACTCCTGAGGTGCTCGACATTTCTAGCCATGTTGGTTGAAGGACATTGTTTGCAGTGGTTGCCCAGAGACTGCAGTGTTTGGATCGACACTCTGGATTCCACGCAAGTGTCCCATCAGTACCAACACACATACAAATACAAAATAGCTTATAAAACCATGCCCACTCCAGTGATCATATAGGATTTTATTCATAATCACAGACTGATTAAGGTAGCTTTCAAAAGATCACATTATTTCATTATATCTTGACATGCGAAACCCTAAAGGCAACCGGTGCTTTTAATTTGAGTTTTAATGGGGCAAAGATTAACTTTTGCAACACAATGGTTATTTAATGTTATTGCAACAAGTCTTGAGATCAGTTTGTCAAAAATGTCCTCTGCTTTTGCTCCTCTCCTTTCATAATTACTCAGTAGATGCACCCTGATGCTTCATACATGCACCGAACGGCATTCTGCTTTTATGCTTCCGTAGTTGCAGATTCCTTGCTTCAGTGCAAATTCAAATGTGAGATTCAGATGTGATCTGGAAATAAAGATGAAAAAAATCGCTCCATGAGATCAGCTCTTGTTATTCATCCCTTCCTTTATATAATAGTTAATAGGACATTGTGCTGACGCATGCCAGGGAGTTGTGAACCAGTGCAAAGTGTTGGAGCCTCAGAGTCTGTGCATGACTCACCGTGTCACCTGCTGTGATCAGGTTGGTGGGTCAAAAGAACAGCAAACAGTTGTTTTGACAGTAAGTGGGGGACTTGTTGGTGTTTCTGAAGCTGTGTGGCTGAAATTGTTAATAATTGGCCGCCTGTAGTGGAAGTAAACACTTATCACCTCGTATTTAATCAAATCAGACAGCATTTAATTCAGAAACTGCTTCCCACACATAGAATACTGTAGAAGAAGAGTTTCATGTAAGGACAAAGCAGGAGTTCAAATACCTGACAGTACAAATACCTGATAGGTAGTCCAAGCTGGCATGGGGGCTTCAGAGCGATGTTCTGGGGTTATTTCAGGTGAGTTGATATGAAGAATTGAGAAGCAGTAAGTTGCCACAGCAAGGTAATGCTCTGAGCAGGGCCATCGAAACATCTAAAATAGGCAAAGCTATTATATATATATATATATATATATATATATATATATATATATATATATATATATATATATATATATATATATATATATATATACATCTAAAATAGGCAAAGCTATTATATATATATATATATATATATATATATACTTTTTATATATCTGAAAAAGTACCCTTACAGCCCCAACCTCTGGCTTCATAACACATCACACTGTGGATTACAACTTTTTTTTTTAATAAACAGGGATCGCTTTTCATTAGGAAATGGTTATGAGATGACTACTGATGTGGTGTGTGGTGTAATAGTGGAAAGGCTTCACAATATGAGAGTTTGTCCTTGTCCAGCTTTCAGTTTTTATCCCATTTCCTGTTTAATAACTCTGACCAAACGGCTATAGTGGCATAAAATCTTAAGAGAGAGAGGGACAGATGAACAACTTTTAGGTTTTTAATTTCCCTGATAAATACAACAAATCATGCAACAAATTGACCTATTAGAGTAAACATTCCCATCTAGTCGAAACTTTATTGCATTGTTTTAAACCAATCACTTTTTACAGTACATTACTGTAGTTAAATTCTGTCCTTTTCTCTAATTTGATGTGTGATAACAGAATAATCGATTTCTTTATTCATTGATTAGAGCAGCCTCACATTTCAGATTGGTTAATTAGGTGCCCATGACGACTCTTTCTGCCGGGGACCTTACAAACACTGAGAGAAAATATAAAGCAGAATCAGCAAGATTCTGAATCCCGAATCAGAACTGGATCACCTTCCTGAAAAAAAGTGTTTACACCATAGATGTTGCTTTTGTCAGATTTCTGTGTAAAAGTCATACAAACTTAGTTTTTTTTTCTTCACATTTCTGACATGATCATCAACACTTTTGTCCATTTCCAATTCAGCTCTTGGGGTGACGCATGCTGGTAAACAATCCAAACATCCAATGACTTGGATAGAGGCGTCACGGCGACATTTAGTTCAAACCGTTCAGATTTGTTTTTCTTATCAGTCAAGCTCAGGCTCAAGCTCAAATACTCACCTCCATGTGAGTATTTGATATTTGTTTTGACAGGACATTGATTTATTACTGGTAATTAATAAACATCATGGTAAGAATTTATTGGCACACTTAGTCACCTGCTGTTAGCATTTACAGCTACAACAGGTGCGTAAAAGGCTAGGATTGTAAGGTGAACACATTTAGCTGACAGTTTTATGAAGTAAACTGAGACTCACTTAAAGCGAGGAATACTTTCAATGAGATTTGTATTTTTCAAACCAAAAGCCTTTTATTAAACTTTTCATTTTTGGTAATTATTCACCAACTAAAACTTAGACTTTGATTTCCCAGAACTGCTTTGAAAATGAATAGCCAATTACCTGTTGTCATGCTGTGCCCCTTCTAGATTAGAGTTACTTAAAAAAATAAATAAATAAATAAAGCAGAGGGAAACTGTGACATAACTGGGTTATGAATGAAAAGGAAGAGCATGTGAGACAGAGTGATGAGCATCCGTCCATGTGCTGAAGTGGGAGACGGAAAGAGGAGCGAACGTCCGGAGTGGAGAGTGCAGAGTGGGTGGGGTGTTGATAGAGGAAGAGGAGGATGAGAAGGAGAGACGAAGCTTGTGGTCTCAGCCTCCTTCTCAGAATTATCCTTTAGTGACGCAGGCTCCTCCACACACATCCTGACAGCTGCTCCCTGCCTGGTTACAGCGCCGCTCGTCCCCGTCCAATAACATTCATGTTCATTTCCGCTTTAATGCCTGGCTTCTCCCCCTCCTGGGTTCACTATTACAGCTGCATTTTGCCTCATTTGTACCTGTTTACTAAGTACTTCTTGTTTCTATCTAATCTCAGTACCTGTGAGACCACAATGTCACACACACCGGAGCTTCCGTTTTAATAAGCACGAGCTTTGGAGAACATAGCCAATTAGTGCAAGGTATTTATTTATTTTTTTTTTTTTTATCCTGAGAACGTAATAAAATTAATACTTGAATTGTAGCTGAAGGGCCCTTTGTGATTGAACAGACATACTTACCCCTATTTTTATAAGGGTTCTTAAACATTAAAGCTTTTCCAATAAAGTAAAGACATTATTCCCTTTCCAGGAACACACCAATTTGAAATATAAAGAGCTGAATGACGTACTCGGAGGGTGAATTAGCGAACCTTTGAAGAAAATCACAAAAACTACATTTGGTTTCATGGGTCTTAAAGAATAAGTACAACCACTTATCAATGTTGCTGTAAGCGCAAATGAGTGTACAAGGAATGTACAAGGTAATTTTTGGTTCAGTTCCTGGAAATTTGCTGACCTGCTCCTATGTTCTCTGAAAATAGCCCAAATTCTTGGTTTCCATAATACAGTTAATATCTCTTTTTATTACATGCTAAAGGTTTTCTTTTTTTTTTTTAATGGAGATGTTCTCAAAGTAATTTGTGAAAAATATGTTTAGAATTGCTGAGATTTTTCTCATGGTTTTGAACCCTTTGTCCAGCTGCTGTGATGAATGTTGTCCTTCTGAAGTTTTTTTTCAACCTCCACATGCATCTGGTTGAACTTTTCCACTGCTGTCTTGAACTTAAAATTGACATAAATAATAAATAAATAAGTACAACAGGAAAGTAAATTTACTCAAACATACATTTAAGCAATAAATGAACGAATAAATAAAAACAACAACAATAAAAACTGTATGTTTTAGTTCCCTGAAAATGTCTTCCTAAGCAACAGTTTATACTATGGCCCTCCATAAACACTGATGTTCTGATTGCTTTTCAAGAACATGTATTAAAATATTCAGGTTTTTTGTAGATGCGTTGATCAATGAGTTCACAAAGAAGTAAAAATGCATGAGTGAACCCTGTTAAAATATCACCACAGTGGTCTTATGAGTTATACAATCAACCTTGAGGGTAGGTTGAAACACTTGTTGCACCACTGGTTCACTGTGGTGACAATATTCAGTTACAACACAGCAAGGGGATTTCCATGGTGACATTATTAGTTTCAGGCCCATTCATTTTCACTGGAGTGACATGATTTTACTGAAGGTCTGGGACATTCCAGTGTCTTTTTTGTTTGTTTTCCTAAAGTTCTTAAATTTTCTTGTCCTATATAAAACATGCACTTGATTTCCTGCAGCTATTTTTTCTTATCCCCTTCTTAGCAGTTAGTGAAATATTTCCATTAGTTTTTAGATCTGTTTTCTCTTAATGGTGATGGAGTTGTAAAACATTTTTACAAATGTTAAGTTCTCGCACATAACATTAAGCTCACTGAATATATCCTCGTTTAAGACGAGTATGCTTGCTGTACTCCCTCAATGATGCTCTGCTGTACTGCGCCTTTAAGAGATACCGGAAGTGCCTTTCTTGCACTGGATGTACAACACTTCAATGTGACCCCTGTTGATACTAACTTATTTGTTCACGTTATCTTCGTAAAGTAAATTTTAAAAAAAAAAATGTTTCTTACCAGCGTGAACTGTGAGTATGAAAGACATAATATAGAGTTTCTGGTTTTAGTCTTCGCTCTGAAATTTGCTTATTGTTTACGGCAACATTTACACCACATTTACGCGTTAAAGTTAGCATAATCTCTGAGATATAGCTTGATGGATATTCACACTGATTCTTTAAATGCAGCTTTTACTTACAGTACAAATATGTAGGCTGGTCTAACTATTTATTCACAGCTAAGGAGACTGAAAAATAGGATAAACACGTTGTTTTTCTTGAGTAAAGCTTATTAAAGTCAACATGTTCTGTTCTTTTTTTCAGTGGCTAAAGCAAAATCCAAGTAAGTGAAACGATTGTTTATATTTAAAGCGTTGAGATGTTGACACATACTCATCATAGATACGAATGCCATTTTGTAACTAGTAAATTATTTTTTTTCGGATCTACGAAGGGTAAAAATGATGCATGCAATTATTAACATTTACAGGCTGCACTCCGAACGCACATTTTTGTTGCCACCACTAAACATCTGACATGATTTCCTGAGACCGACTGTATTTTAAGCATAGCCCATCAATTTTCGTCAGGTCAGATCATTCTTGATCACTGACTTGGCCAAATATCAACACCAGATTGGATGTGTGGTTTCTTTATTCTGTTGGAAAACACAAATATGTCCACGTTTTAGCTCTCGAGCTGCTAATTTGAGACGAAGTTGAAACATTTAGAAGCATCCCTCCTTCCAAGTCATCAAATTCTTTTTGTTGATATGTTTCAGCACCCCTGAACCACTACCCCACATGTTGATGGTGCCACCACCATGCTTGGCAGTTGCTACTTTCCCAACGCGTACAAATCTAGCTAAACTTCTTGTTAAATCATTATTTAATTAATTTAGACATTCATTGTCCTGGGTTTGCCAAGGAAATGTTTTTTTTTTCATGCTAGGAAAGAGAAACAAGCAAATTCGGTCAATCATGATCACCAACTGGTGGTTGTCAAGCCTCTTGTTTGTGATTTTGTCAAATTAAAGCAAATAAAAAAAATATGTTGTTGATTATGTTTATTTTGTTGAGCCTGCTTAGGAAGTTTTCAACTAGGTTATAATAAAATCACAAATAATTCAGATTTATGACCGCATCTGGTTGTTTTTGCTGTTGCCTTTGGTATAATAATTTGGAAAAAGGAACAGTTCAGTTAATAAATAAAAGATGAAAATTAATGTCCTTCATGTCCACGATGAGTGTGTAAACTTCTGACCAAAGTTAAATATGGGTTAAATCTGCAGTGTTCAAAGACATTGGTAATGAATCCACCCGTTTCTTTTTCCCTCAGGACCATCTTGGTGCAGATGGTAAGCGCTGCTGGGACAGGATACTTCTTTAACACGAAGAGGAATCGGCTCAGAGAGAAACTGGTGCTGCGAAAACATGACCCGTTTGGTAAGCTGAGACCTAACCTGGAACTAGTTTGCTGGTTTGGTTCACAAACAATTCCATGTGTAATACCAAAGGTGAGGAAGAGTTCTTCCTTCAAAAGCACCTTTAGAAAGTCCAATATCCATATTCTCCTCTCCCTTAGCCGTACCGTTGGATTATGCAGAGAATGTCGTTACCCAATTTTCCTCGCAAAAAAGTACATTAATGTCCTAAATGCAGCATGCGTCGCATTGAGTCTGTGCTGGATTTGTCTGCATTATTGTCGCTGTACCTATGGATTTTATTTAATAAACTTGATAAGAGAGCATCATAGTACATGCCGTTGGTTGATTTTATTATTTTTTTTATTGATTCAAGTTGTGGGAGTTACTACATTTGATGGATTTAAGCAATACAAAGAATAAAAAAAGGACCAGCTGATCAAAGAGAATACATTGATTGGTGAATCTGCGATTCCATTTCAACCACAAAATTCCAGCAGAAGAATCTAATTTATTGAGCTTGTTATTTTTACTTCCAGTGCTGATTCCTGATTTCTCATCCTGTTTCATTCTGTTTCTCTGTCACTGCAGTGAAGAAGCACGTCTTATTCTTTGAGAAGAAGAAAATCAGATCGATTTAATACAACAATGAATATGGACATGTTATGAACAGTTTTATTTACACGGATTATACAGAGCATTAGCTGGAAGACGATTCTGATTGGCTGCTGTTTAATGGAAGAGCTCAAGAATTGATCAAAACATCTGCAGAGGAGTTCAACATGAAGAAGAAAGGACCAGCAACAAGCTTCCTGTTGTATCAAATATGTCAAATTGTTATTTTCGAATACGTGTGAAATTTTGTCAGTTTGGGTTAATTCAATAAATTATGTCCACTAAATACATTGTTTTGAGTTTCTTAGTGCAGCTGTGAGTTCAGAGGTTTCAGTCAATTAAGACACGGTTCAGTTAGAGAAATGTCTCAGAACAGATCGGCCGGCAGGTCCCGTTTGAACGGGAATGACGTCTGGGTGCCAACGGCCTGCACGCTCACCGCTGCCACCTGATTGGCTCTGCGTGCCATCTCCTCCAGAGGCATGTCAGGGTGGTGAGCCAGGTAAAACGCCAGCGCTCCGATGAAGCTGTCGCCAGCTCCCTGAAGAGGAACAAAAACACATATGAACAATCAAACCAGTGAGAATTATTTCACTGGGTGCAAAATGAAGTGGAGCCAAGCTACTGGTGATGCTTAAGTGTTTTACTGGTGATCAGAGGTGATGGTTTTATATGTACTATTTGTTTTTATAATTGTGATAAAGGCTAAAAGGTCCAAACTATATTTATTGTGCAGTTTAAGGGATAAGATTGCTTCAGTTTTTTTTTCAGATATTTAATATCCTTCAAATTAGCTTTAATTTGATTTTTATTTAATGAAAGGAGTAGTTGAAAGTCTATCCAATTAGCAAAATTGTAAACATCACATTATCCTCCAACTTCTAATCATTTTTGGGAAATCCTCAAAGATGATTTGTTTTTGCCTCCAATTCTCTGCAAAAAGTTTCCCATTATGCCATTTTACCAAATGCACCAGAAAACAAGGGTTCCAACATATTCCTTAAAAATTGTATGAAATGCAGTGATTTCTTGGAATATTTTCTAATATTTAAATAATACGCTGGACAGTTCTCAGCCTAATTTCAGCAGTCTCTACAATCTCCGTAGATGTTTTCTCTGCTTTCTTAAGCAGGCAGCTTTCAACAACAACAACACGTGTCTTTCAGGAAGCTTTCTGGATGCTTTCCGTTGCAGATTTTTCAGGAAAATTTCAATTGGACGAAACTCTGCTCCGGATCCAGAAATCACTAGCAGAGCTATGCTCAGCAGCCACTTTATTAGATACCCCTGTTTAATCGCTAGTTGTCACAGATTGCAACTCAGCCAATCACATGGCAGTAATTCAATGTATTTAGTCATCTAGAGTTCATAAAGACAACTTGCTGAAGTTGGAAATGAGCATCAGAATGGAGAAGAAAGAAGATTTAGGTTTGCTTAAGTGTGTCAAAAGACCGAGCTGCAGTTGTGTGAAAAAAAAAAAAACAGCCGTGCTGATATCATATGTCAGATGAAAATAACTCAAACTCAATCAATCAAGCCTCACAACCAGGAGATGCAAAACACCATCTCTGAACGCGTAACATTGAAGCTGATGGGTCCCAGTTGCAGAAAGCCAGACCAGTTACAACTCCAGTCAGCTAAGAACAGGAAACAGAGGCTACAATTCACACAGGCTCCTCAAAATTTCAGAATAACAGATCAGAAAAAGGATACCTGTTGAGAAGCTGGTGTGAATAACAATATAGGATTCAGTTTGGTTAATTCTTTTCATATAGTAACACATTGGACAACAGTAACTAAATTACTAAGAGGCGATGTGGGCTTTTCACATCTAAAGTGATTAATTGTGTATTTTAAATTGGAAAATTAATTAATTTGATTTCTACACTTTGTAAAATCTCTTTTTCACACCACTTCCCCCATAAAAATGTAATGTTTCTACATTAAAAATCACACAAAGGATGCCTTCAGGATTTTTTTTTTCTCTCAATGGCCTTTGAGCGTCTGTTCAACAGTCATCACATTTGCACAAACCTGTGGTGTAAACATTTTATCAGCAGTAGAAAACAACTTAACGTTTTTAGACCAGCTATTTTCAGAGGAGAGAAAATGGAAAAAGCTGAAATTTAACAGCATGAAAACAAAACGGAGAGGCTTGAACAGTAGGGGGTGCTGTGGCATTTATCTGCTTCTTCGTTTGCACTCCATAAACCTACAACCAGTTATAAAAAAAAATAAATAAATAAAAGGAGGGGAGAGAATGTCTCAGTCAGCTTTTTCTGCACTAAACATCATTGAGAACTTTGTCATTTAATGCTTTATTTTTAAATATTAAACTGAAAAATGAGTTTTGATTTAGTTTAATAATGGATTGTTTTTTACTGACAACTTTGCTAAAAATGGTCAAGTTATTACATCAGAAATATTTCATAATAATATATTATTAAAATAAATATGGCAGCACAACTTTGTAAAAATAATGAATTTAAAGTCGAAAAATAAAAAGGGGTGCTTTATTAACTGTTTACAGAAACATGTGGCTTCACTGTAACAGGCAGCAGTTTTGGTATTACCTCATAAATCGTCCCTTTTTCCATCTTGCTCTATTGATAAAGACGGAATGTGCTGTCTACGCCCTGGAGGGGGTTGTCTGGTGTAAGGGAGGTGGGGGTGCGCTGATGGGAAAAGGAGCAGTGGTATGTAGGGACACGCTCATGTTTAACCGCAAACGGCCCCCCGACGCTGGTTCTCACAAGCCCATGCCATTACTCATCACCACAGCTCTGAGGAGTTCACTGCACTCCGTCTTCAATCTTCAGAGTAACTCTTTTGTCTGGGGATAAGTCAAGGAGGCAGGGTAAAAACCACCAATCGTGACCCGGTCAGAGAGGAGGAAGGTTCTGACAAGCTCCTGTGTTCCCAGCATTCACAAATGGTGCTGATTTGACATTTAAAAGGCCGTTATTACTGCTCCCCCCGCCCCCCATCCCCCTCTGCGTGGAGTGCAGGGATGCTGGAAAGAGTGAGATCAGAGACGAAACATTTCACAGGCCCGTTGGATTTCCACGTTTAAACCCACAGAGTGTTTATGTCTGTCTTTCAGCTGGAACCAGGCCATTCTGCAGCCAGTGTTTGGAGGCTGGACTTTGCAGGAGACGGCCCCCGTGTTTCGGATCTGGACCCTCTCCCAGGCAAATGTGTCATGGCTGACACTGGGATGCTACTTGAGTGGATTTGGGCAATTCTCTGCTGTAAAGCATATTGGAAAGGACAGGTTGGGCGATGCGACCACAGAAACAAGAAGATCTTAATCTCTGTCATCGTGACAGAGTTATTTATTTAACCTCAGCCCTGTTTATGATTCACAGTCTAATACACCTGTTGTCGTGTCAGTAATCTGCCTTCGAATCCCTTTTAAAACAACTGGCTTTGTCTATTAACACTGTGACAAGGTGGGGTTGGAACAGGTTTCTGTTAGCTAAAAGACAAATCTCTCTGGTATTTAAAAAGGAATCTATATTTTAATACTATACTAACATTTATTAGGACAAGTATGACAACTAATTATAGAGATATGGACAAATATTTGGCAAGGTTGTGTAAAACACGGTGAACTAAATTTACCATTTGTTGCAGACACTTAATCCCCCGCTGAAAAGTTAAATAAAATTGGTTTAGTTTTAACGTCTAATATTAAAACATTATTATTTTTTTCATAAAATCACAGGCGAGACACGTATTGGTTCCCGAAACAAACCTTGTTAAAGGAAAGTAACTAAAGCCATTTTTATTTTTAGCTTACGTTTGCCCCGGGTTATAAATATGGCACCACAGAGAGGCCATTTTTTTTTAGAAACTGGACAGGATCGACGTTTGTCTCACCTCCTTTACCACCTCCTTCACTGTCCAGTGAGCAGGACAGTGAGGGAGGTAAAATCTCACTGTCAGAGAACTGCAGCAAAGAAGTTACCAAGTTTCCATAGCAACTATTGGACACCATCTATATACCATAGATCATATTTAGTAGGCATGCAATAAAAAACCTCTCCTGTCCTACTTCAGCAAGCACAAACGTGGAGTTTGTTGAACTCTGGGACTTTGTGCTTTGACTGTATGATACTAAGACTGAACTTTTAGGCAGTAAACATTCCAGGTTGTGTTCAGTGTAATGAAAATGTTTGAATGTGCTAAATAAACTGCACCTTCCACCTACTGTTAAGCATGATACCAGGACTCTGGGTCATGGCAATGGTGCAAAGGGTTCTCTCTGTATCTATAAACCTTGTAAAGATATTACAGGAAAACACACAAAGTATTATCACATTAGCACAGTAACTGAGTTCAAGATAAAGAGCTGGCAGGAGTACCCAACTCGAATAAATAGTGCTATTGATACATACTTATCAGAGGCGTATTGGCAGTGCATGCTGTCTTACGTTATAGTGGAAATTTTGGATCAGGAAACTAGAATAATAACAAAGTGCTGCACCACAGATTCCATCTGAGTGTGATCCCTTCACTTTCCATCAAAGAAGTAACACTTTCTTTTAAAGTGGTTTTGTTCAAAAGTTCTTCAGGTATTCTTAAAGGCTTGGTTTAAAACTTTTGCACAGCACTAGATAGAGAATAATGGAATAAGGAGGTTTTGTGAAACTCGTCGACGTCAATATATTGGGAACTTAAAAACGACTGTATTTGTATGTTTCAAAATCTTTAAAGCTGTTAAGTGCCACTTTACAGAAGCTGGAAAGAAGTAGGCCATTAGCCATTTTAGTACAACTTAATAGTAAGAGAATAAAATGGATAAACCACGACTGTTAAATCCCAATAGCGGTAGAGTAGGCAGCACATTTATTGGCCATTGGTCTGAGGTGGTGCAGCCTGGGGTTTGAGCATGTCTTCTGTCTTAGCACATTTCCTGACTGATTGCTGAAGTGCACTGGAATAAATTAGAGAGATTCAAACTGAGATCGGAGTGGACTGAATATCTCATTGTAAGAAAAAAAAAAAAAAACGGGCCTGTTATATATTACCAGAATTAATGCTGCTGACTAAACTGAAACAAACTGATTCACCACTTTAAGGAACTGGAAAAAAAA